AGAGAAAAAGGCAACCTAATTCAGACTTCTCTAAACTTTTTTGATAGTCCAACAAAAGGAAAGAACTTCAGCAAATATATAGAAGTTTACTTCCTGCAAGATAAAATGTTTAGCAGATTCCAATCATATTATTAAAAAAAAATAGCAGTGGGTGAGTAGCCTGTATTTTTTTTGGGGGGGGGGCGGGAGTTTTCTCATTTTTCTTCAGAGACTTTGGAGAAGATTTCTGAGGTTTCTTTTTTTTCCCAAAGAACCTAGTGAAAACGATAAACCTAAGCAGCAGCATATATGGGTTCATTCTCATATCTTCCCACTTTCAAAAGCTTAATCAGACCAGGGATGAAGGAACAAGACTATTACCAGGAGAAAGTGGAAACTATATTCTAAATTCTGTGGTAAGAACCCATTAATTCCCAAAACAATCTAGGTTTTTAAATATTATACTCTCCACACTCAACCAGATTTGGAATAGTCAGACCACTAGAAACTAATTCCAAATATTGTTTTTGATTCATTTGTTTCATTGGATACTCTTTATCTAGATTTAAGACTTGTGTGGAGAACAGATCATGCTTTAGGTCATATTTATGCAGAAATATTGAAAATTCAAAAGGGTTTATAAACTTTTTTAAATATTATACTCTCCACACTCAACCAGATTTGGAATAGTCAGACGACTAGAAACTAATTCCAAATATTGTTTTTGATTCATTTGTTTCATTGGATACTCTTTATCTAGATTTAAGACTTGTGTGGAGAACAGATCATGCTTTAGGTCATATTTATGCAGAAATATTGAAAATTCAAAAGGGTTTATAAACTTTTAAGCATCACTGTAGATGGTAGTTAGCTGGACTTTTTATGTAGACTAGTTTATATAATGTATAATGACTTGTAGTAGATACATTTTTAAGACCCAACCAAAAATTATGTATGATCAACCTTGTAATTAACCCAACTATAATTCAACCTAGTAATTTTAAAAAATGTGTATATGTACCTGACCCTCTGACACCAGTAGGTTGAGTAGAGTTCCGAGCAAAGGCAGAGTTTTCTAGCTGACTTTTTTTACTCTTCTGGTTAACAGTTTCTTCAAATCCATTCTCCTTTACACAATCTGATTTAAAAAAAGTAGATTTCTCAAACCCTAGGAAAAATGAATGTTAAAAAAGATAACTACTTTTAAGAAGAAAAAGTTTACTTACAGTATTTTAGCTCTAAAATTGATTTTCTAATGAATACTTTGCCTAACAAATTAAAAATAAATGCCTGAATAAAAGTTATACTGGGCACACTACATAGTTTAAATACAATAGGAAAAATATTTGAAGAATGATCAAGGCTCATCCTTTACAAATAAATCTAAAGTAGGATTCCATTTCAGACTAACAAAATCTAGATTTCAAAAATATTAATTTAGTTATTATTTGAGAAATCTAGTCTTTTTTAAAAACTACATTTGATTGAAATTAAAAATGCATTTTGAAAAATCATGTATTCATTTTGCCATTTAATATCTGAACTCCATTCCATTTGAAAAATTAAATAGCCCTCAGACCCAGCTTATTAATTTCCTGATAACTAAAGGTCCTGCAACTTATCTATCCCTAGCACGACCTCAAGAAATTGTGCATTAATACATTAATGTAACATCACCAAGGTTCAAGCACTCATTCAACCAATAGCCCCGATCCTATTAGCCTTTTGGAAAGCTCTTAAAACATGTTTTTTCCAGTAGCCTTGAGGATCCAATGGAACAGGCAGCTGCAAAGTGCTTATACTGTGTTTAGGATGTTGGTCCATTCTCTGCGGTCTTAGTTATATTGATGCTTAATTATTTTTAATGGTTGTTTATACTTGTTTTTAAGTGTTTGTTTATTGCATGCTGCCAAAAGTCATGTTTGTGAGATGGGTGGGTATATAAATTTGCTAAATTACAAAAATAAAGTAAAATAAAACAAATCATGTGGTTCGCTGGAAAATTCTGGGCCACTGACTGTCTCTAGCCCCACCTGCCACATAGTCAGTCTGAGGATAAAACCAGGGAAGACTTCTAGGTACAACCCAATGAGTGGGAATATAATGTTGGTAGGCCACCTTTCCATATATCAACACCACTACATTAAGCACCTCCTCATATTACTAAATAAGTATGAATTTGTAAAGATTCAAGTTTCTATTACCAAGTTCTTCTCCATTGCCTGTAGAGGCTTTATAATGTGACCAGTGAATTATATGCCGAAGTGCATCTTCTGTTGATACTGGTGTACCATCTGGGTTTGCATAAAATAGTAGTAATGGCTGAAAGTGACACCGAATGCACTTGGACACCACATCTTTCCATTTTGTTCCAACCTAAAAAAGATTTCCCCCAAATGCAGAAGTAATCACTTAATTCAGGTAAGAAAAAGTCATAATACAATTAAAAATAAACTGGACGTGAATGTATACATTCAAACAAATTAAAATTTCCTTAAATAGTTTAGACATGTGAAAAATAAGAACTATAATGGTCCTTTTTTGTAATGCATGTCAGTGAGGCAGCAAATTCCCTGCATGACTTAGAACAAAAACTAAATCTTTCATTTCAGGTCAGAAAATGTACATGCTTAGAAACGTGAAGTATTATCTTCATATCAAAATTAAGACTGTCAGAATGTTATATTAAATTTTTATCTCTTATTATCTTTAGGAAATATCTGAATGCCTCCATATAAAATACAATATCATAACTAACTTACCTCTTTAACATTAGCATCATCAAATAACACCCATTTACAACTCTTGGTATGAAAGGCAAAGGCACAATAGTGTCTGCTTGCATAGCATATCATCCCCACAAGAAAAAGCTCACTGTTTTTGGCATGTTCATCAGTAACCCTATAAAACAACTGTAAAAATGATAGATAGGTAAGCTAATAAGAAGTAGAGCTGAGGATAAATAACAAATTTACATAACCAAATTGAAAGATTTTATCCAGTTTATAACTGCATTTAGCAAAGCATAGAAACTAAAGCATTTCAATTATTCTTTGACATCAGCATACTGTAATCTTAGAGATGCCTATTTAGAATAAATCCTGTTATTTTCAGTGAACTTATTTCTGTGTAATTGGCTATAGAATTGTACTTTTAATCTTAACTGGTGACAATACGCTATAATATTTATCAAATGTTGTACTTTTTATATTCTAAATTATTAACTTTTAATATACATATAGGAATTTTATCTGTAAACAAACCAATATACAGTTTGCCAAAGTTTTCCACTTAATTGGAAGTATTTTAAATAAAATTATTTTAAAATCCATTAGTAATTAAACAATTAGCGGGTTAATTAATAAACTAAACAATTAATCAGGCAGCACTCACTGCCAAGTATTTTCCCAGGACATGTCATTTGGCACTCTGCATTACCCCTCTGGTTCTAGTTGAGCAGGTTATTTTCCCAGGTTCAAACTTGATTCCTTTAAAAAGATGGTTTTAAACTGATTTATTCATTAGAAATGTTATGTTCTGTTTGATTCAGCTCTCATCACTTAGATTGATGGTCTGAGTCTTCCAGCCTATAAGCAGGAATGACCAATGAATAGCTTCTAGAAGTTAAAACAAATTCTGCCTGGAATCCTGATAGGTCTATATTATGTATTTATCTTCCAGTAGATCCTAGGCAAGATAGAAAGTAGTCAGAATAATTTTGGCTAGGATGCTGACCTCTCCAACTCCGTCATAAACAGCTGGTGTTGAGAGCCCATTTCTCTCTCTTTTTAATATTTAAAGAGCTACCATGCATATATAATAGCATCTGGCCGTTTGAAAAATACAGATCTTTATGTTAGAGCACCTAGAATGGCCATATAACTCTTCAGAGAGCTTGAGGCTGCGGTGTCACATTTTTTAGACATCAAGTAAGGTAAAAGGAATACTGTATTCTCTTTGTAAAGCTTATAGAGTAAATATAATCCCATTTATTCAAAAATCTCTACAGATTTCTAATTATAAAAACTGGAGCAATATTTTTCAGTATTGCACTGAAAATCAGTCCCTAAAAGCAGATTGTAAAAAGGACTATACTTATCTAGTCTATTAACTTTACCTGG